AATTCTTTCTGAACTGTTTTTACACGATGAAGGAAATTTCGATCTTGATTCTTATCAATTACGATTACCAAGGAATGTTATTTTAGTGGAAGAAGGATGAAAACCCTTTTGACTCTTTGAAGTTAGAGGGCTGGTACGAAACAAATGTTTGGGTCGCTTGATTGACCCAGCTTTTAGCAATCTGAGCACCGATTTAGTGCGTGGCGAGGGTATGAGTCTTGCATAGTGATAGGAAGAATCTTGAAAGAACAATGTACATTCGAAAGAAGATTGGTCGAAAGGGCGATGGGTTTTTAGGTTATGCAAGGAACGGTTAGAATTTGGTGCAGGGCGTAAGTGGGAAGGATAAAATGGAACCAAATACATGGCAGATTCCTTAAAAATATGTAAAATGTTGAAGGATATGTTAAACCAGCTTGCCATTGAGTGTGACATGAGAGAAGATCTTGCGAGAAAATTACAAATAGTTGGATGCTTCATGGAGCAAATAGAATTCAGGTCATCATAGCCGATCATATGTTATTCGTATCCAACGTAGAAAAGTACGTGAAGTTGCTGGTCGTCTAACAAAATCTAAACCGCTTGCTTTGGTTCTAAAGGAGATACTATATGTAAAATCTATCATTATTCAACCACTGGATGTCATAAACGAGAAGAATGATGTCGATATTGAAAATTTTCTTTATGATTCTGATGAACAAGATAAATATTATATGCCTCCCACCATCAATATATCTAAGACAATTGTGACTCCGAGGTGGTATAAATTATACAGTTTTAATGAAACAGTAGATAGTGTTAGTGCATATTAAATCATGCTTTTTATATACAAAAGTGGAAATTAACATATTCCAAGGAAATGTTGCATTTCTTTTAATCTTATATTAGTGTAATATAGTATTTAATAAAGATTAGATTTTATTCACATCGGGCTTAACCAGTGTATGCGTATATGTGGTGCGGGGATGTGTGATTTGTTCATGCATCGTAAAATAAAACTATATCGATAATTTATGTACGATACATATAAATACATCATCGGGTATATAGAAGTTATCTATAATATGCCCCTGGATATAATTTATTGTTTTCGGTGATTGTATAGAAGTTATTCTAGTATTTCTAAGTCGCAGGTAGCACATTGGCCAAAAAGTTTTTTTTTCTCATTTTTAAAGTGAATTTCCGGAACCGATAGCTAATGAATTTTTGACAGTGAAAAAAATGTATTCATCTTTTTTCACAAGAAAATGAGTTTGCATGTCATATATTGTCAATTTATTGTTCATTATCACTATAATTTTTATTTGTTCATTTCAAAGTCACCAGTTTCTTTATGAAATTATTAACATAATTTTTTTATTCATTTTCGCTATCTAAATTTTTTATGAAAAGTGGAGAAAAAAGAAAATTTAAAGGAGGATTATCTTCTTGTTCTAATATTTTTAATTACGGAAATTGGAAAACTCAAGTTTGAGATGCAAGTTACTACATCCCCCCAAAAATCAAAATTATTTTATTATGTCGAAATGAAAAACCTTGAATAAGATTTGTGTTATTATCAATAGGTTTTAAGCCCATTCAAAAAAAAAATATGAATTTCAATATTTTAGATATTTTTTTCAGACATTACGTTAGTTTTCTGAATATTTCGTTACGTCATTCCATTCGAATACCAGTAGTATTGGATCAAGATAACAGTCTTCTTCGGGATCAATAGTAATTTCTTTTGCAGTCTTATACCACTGGATGATTCTCCTTCCATAAATTTTTTAATGATTCTGACACCATTTTTTTTTTTGCTGAAAAAAAATATATATATTAGATTAAGATTGATAAAAATGAACACATTTGTACAAGAGAAAATAGGTATTACATCCAAAAAGCCTAGAGAGCATTATACATGTTGTCTAAATTATTTTCGAGTTAAATTTCTCATTCGGGTAGGTAAATATCCCGGTGTAGTTGTCACTGGGGTTATTTTTTGGCATAGTAAAATAATTATAACTGAATTCACGTCACGTCATACTCTGTATAATGAAGAATTAAATTATTAATGTGGACAAAAGTGATAAACTCGTTTTACTTTTATATGTTTATGGCAATATTCTTGATTTCATGATCCAAGAATTGAATTTGAAAATGTAGCAATAAAGATTATAAATTAGAAATAATAAAATCATATGTGAAATTTTATCTCCTCCTCCTCTTACGCTTATAAATAAAAATAATTATTATTAAAAAATAGATAATAATATAAATACCACTAACTCCTAAAGGGATTTTTTGGTGATACCATCTCCAAATTATATTGTTAATTTTTAATCCCTTTTGGGAAACTATTACAATGATTTAGGACATTTTGAGCAATAATAGATCAATGCTCACATCCGTGGTGCCAACGCGACTTCGCCGAAACAAGAATTGTGAAACCAGAATATTCTTCATAGTTTCGAAAGATAGTACATATAGTTGTTTTCTAGTGAATTCCAATTTTTGTTATTATTAATAAAGTTACTCTAACTAAGGGAATTGAAAATTGTAAACCAAGTGAACTCCACACTTTGCATTATTTGCATGTAAATGTGACCATTTTTTTTTATTAAAATTCTTTATTTTAAATTGTTTATAAAAGAAATATATATATATATGTGACGTCATTTAATATCGGGGGATATTCAACCCGAGGAATACAAAATTTGAATAATAAATAATAACGATAATAAATAATAATAATAATAATAAAGGTCTCTTTTTATTTTTCAAGGGTTGTCTTGAAGTTTATTCCCCGCAATTTTATTATTATTATTAAGTATAATATTTCTCGAAAACGAATAAAAATGGCCACCACGACCAATATTTCTGCCTCTAACCTAATAAACACTGTCACTACTACTGTTACTACTACTACTACTACCACTACCATTACTATTCCGCCTGCTCCGTAATTATTTAATTAAAATTCCTTTCTTTTAATGCCTGTTCAAATTAGTTCAAAA